GCGATGAATAGATCTATGATAGAGGCAGGGTATTGAACGGTGACCAAAGGCAAAATTGGGGCTGATAAGAGGAAACATTGCGTTTAATGGTTTCCAGATGATGAGAACAATGTACAGTAAGGGCACAAAGTGTGAGATTCATAGAAAAGTTTTCCTAAGAATATTTCCAATCCTTTTCTCACACAAGAGAAAATGGGTTAGGGGGCGTTGGGTATAACTTTATGGAACAAAGGGGGCGGTGGATCGAAAAAGTTTGAGAATCACTGGTATAGGCTATTTATTTTGCGGAAATATTAGCTATAGAATAAACGTTTTATCGCACAGTGATCACACTATTGTTGCAGTGACGTCATTGACCGCGTGACGTTCATACTCGACGAGGGATTTTCCCTTAAGTTACATTTTTACATATTTTGGCAATTGGCGTATTTTAAACTTCATTAAATTTAAAGTTTAAAAATGATAGCCAATCTATTATCCAATAGGAAGTAACCGTAATTTAAAAAGTGTTATCGCCCATCTAACTAACGTAGCGGTACATACAATTCATCTTTGTTTTATCAACGAAGAATTAAAAAGACTCACTATTTTGTAAAAAAGAAAAAAAAAATGCCAAGGGAAAAGTGTAAAACTCTGTTGCTTTATCCCATTCAAGAAACCGAAACAATATTAAGCCGTCTATTACTAAAGGAAGACAGCAAGGAAACATTTTAAAACACAATAGAGCGTTTACTCAGAATGTAGAGTATAAAAAATTTTATAAAGAAAGATTTTAATATTTCTTTTAATTTAAAGGCCATCCATCATCTGTTTATATGTGCGTAAGTGAATTCTCTATTACTTCTACCATTTTTGTCCACGCAAATTTTGTTTTGTTGCTCTTTATGTTCCAGGCCCACCAGTAGCCAAGCGGTTTTGTTCCCCGAACACTGGTAATTCGGCCGTGGGTCGTGTCTGGCCAGGTGGAGTTTTCCGGGTTTTTTCCAAATCATTAATGCCTAAATAGGAGCCAGTTACCCTTAAAAGACCTCTCGGAAGGCATCCCCCCACTAGGCAGATCGCCCAAGTGTTGCATTGCCATACATAACAAAACAAACAACTCTGTGTTACAACAATTAGTGTACACTACTTAATTTGTAGAAATATTAGCAAATTCTCTTGAAATATCTACTCTTCTCAATTCTTCAATCTCAACTTGCTCATAAAAAGTATTCCATCATGCTTCACGGGAATTTTTAGTACTAAATATCAATATCTGTTGGTCTACTTATTTTTATTGATATAAAAATTGCAAGTTTTGCAGATTCATATTTATGTTCCGTAAATAATTTTTATTTTCTTTAAATATATTAAATAACTTTTACAATTACTCACATTTGTATTTTATTAGAAAAAACTACAAATAATAATAATAATAATAATAATAATGCTTTATATTTGAATTTAGAATTTTTCCTTCTAGATTGATAGATTTACACACTGTACCACGGCGAAAAGAGTTAGCTACAAAAAAAAACCATTGTCTAATGTAATTAATGTCATTTGTATAAGTGCATCTTTACGCAATCACTATTACACTATAATATAGGACATTTTTGAACAAAAATCTAGAGAACACTTAAAATTTTGCCTGAAAACTCCGAGAAGAATATTTTCATCTCAAAACATTTGTTTAGAATATTCTGTGTGTATTAATCGTTTATTTTTTTTCAGGATGATCGGTTTGATTGCCGGTAGCATGCATACAGTATTGATTTAAATCAGTAATTATGAATACGGTATTTCAATTAAATAAAAAGGCAATATAATGCACAATTTTTTTTATTCGTTTTCAATTTATCTTCTCTCAGATCATTATATTCTCTTTTGTCATTACAATAATTCTTATCCTGCCATTGCTAAATCGGTACATTTCGTCACTAACATATCTACTCTGCTTTCTGATATCTAAAAATAAAAGAAATGAGGGATTACATTTTTATTTATAAATAACCATGTTATATGCTTTAATTTAATAATAATAATAAAACTCGAATTACGCCTTACTTACAGCATTTCTAACATTTATGTTTCTATTCAGACATTCCAAATACTGAAAATTAAAAAAAAAATTATTTTCTATATTTTATGTTTAAAATTTATGTTTATAATCTACCTTCATCTTTTGTTCGTTACTGGGTTTTATTCTCTCGCAGCTCAAATCAATAAATTGTTGCATGTCTCTGACGCCAAGATATTGAGAACATGTGAGAGCCATTTCGAATGCCTGAAACAAAAAAGAAAAATTCAAATATTTATTTTCAGCGGCATGATCCGATAATAATGGAAACTGCTTACTTTGTATGTTTCTCTCATGCAACCAATAAATTTGTCCTTTTGACTTCTATTGGCATCTATTAGATTTTTAATATTAAAATATATAATTAACTTTACAGTCATAAGCTAATACTGCGCAAATAAATTTAAATACTTTTAAGTATGTTTCATATCTTGTGATATACAACTTTCGAATAATAATATTTCACAAGTGTCAATATGTTAAATTAACTTATCCAAAGTAATGATAATCACTTAGCAGTAGCGTAACAAGTGTCTTTTTTTCGTGTAGGGAATTAAACATTTTATGCATAGGAGTTAGCTGGGTACAGAGGTTAACTGGCCCGTTGCTTTCCATTACTTGTCATATTTAAATTTTCCTCCTCTGTTCAGTGTCATTAATTTTCTCTAGAAGGCTCAAATCACACGTGTAATATGGCCCCCCTCAGACATGTTGAGTAGATGCTATTTGGAAATAATGGTAATTTGTAGGTAAGAGTAAAATTTTAGCGCTTCTTGGCATGCTATTTTCGAACGTTATCTCTTGAGAAAACGTCAAACGTAGTGGGGTTAACTGGGCCAGGAGTAGTTTGGTATAAATTAAGTGGATCGGTTCAGTTAACTCCACCTTTGTGTCTCTGCCGCATCACAAACAGAAAGTCCTTTAAAAAGAGATTAGTTTAGCACATCAGGAATCATAGTAACTCCTGGAGAGATTTGGCCCTTGGCAAAAGCTGGACCCAGAAAAGGTTAAAGAAACAGAAAAAAGGTTTTGTGGACGTAACATGCTATAATTTGCTGCAATACAACCTCACATAACATTTGTAAAAATCTTTAGCTGATCTAGAGACCCTATTCTTTTGTTTTTAGGGCTCGTCCTCGTCTAGAGTTTTCACGGACACTCTGGTGAAGAAACAACTCTAAGAAGCTAAGCTTGTGCTATGAAGAAAGCTAAGTCTAATATGCAAGTGAAAACAAAGGATAGGAATACTCAACATTAGGCTTTTTTTAGAATGCTCAAATGAAGAGCCAGTGAGTGAAACAGGTATCTCCTGTAAAGATGACTTCTCTCTGAATCATGTTTGTCTTCATCATGATGAAGATCCTCTCCGATAACGAATATAATGTGGATGACTTTATTCTGACAAAGCTTTCTGGAAAAACTAAGAACAACATACGAAGTTTTGTTGCTAGTATAGTGATGGCACATTTGGACAAGGATTTCATTGTCAAATGGTTGAAGAAGAACAAACAAATTTCAATTTTCAAATGAAAAAGATGTAAATGTAAGCAAGCTTGACATTGTTTTAAAGCTGCCTTTTCCGGTTTACCAGGGTAAACGTGGTCGCTTTGATAAAATTTATGCATTTACTTTTGATTTTTCTGCTTATGGAATCATTTAACGCAGCATTTCATATGCATCCAGTTAATTCCACCGGATATTCCAGTTGACCGGATATCTTGGAGTTATGGAAATTATTAAATAACATTGAACAATTATATTCAATGAACTCCGCTTTCTCCTATTTCTATTGCTAATTAAATGAATATTTTATAAATATCTCTAACTCAAAAATCTCTCACTTCAAAAAAGATATCGCGCACTTTTGGAGGGCTCGTGCACCCAAGATTAGTGCCCACAAATGACCCAGTGGATAAAACCACCGAACGGGATCGAATCCGATGCTTTAAACACCTTGGCCATATGATCATTTTGATTTGTAATTTTCGATCGCTAGTTCATTCCTATTCCTCAACTGTTATAAGACCCTATTACAGAAAAAGTTTCCTTACTTTCTTTAAGTAAAATAAATGTTGTTTCAAATATATTTATGCAAATAAATATAGAAGATAAAATTCCATTTAGGAAAAGTAATAACAAGAATGATATTAATTCGTTTTTAAATTAAATTTGCTGGAAATCAAATTATTTTATAAAAAATATTTTGAGTTAATTATAAATATATAAAATAGATTTTTTTCAACAGTAATAAATATATTAATACATACCACAAATATTATATTGTCCTGAGACAAAAGTAGCAATAGAGATAACTAGCAAGAAAATGATCATCATTTTAACAGAATGAATATCACTCTTCCTAAAAATACTGCTTTATATATGTTTTAAACTAAAGCAATAATTATAATAAAATGACGTTTTAATAACGTTTTAATTCCATCTTTTTAAATAAAAAGCGTCAGAAATGCATGATTATAACTGCACAGCGCAATCATCTTAATTCATCATTATAATTAAAATAATTATATTATTCACCCGAATTATATTTATAATTATAGTAGTACAAGCAGCATCTAAAACACTGTTTTTATTGCAATAATTTTGAAAATTTCGAAATAAATGTGGTTTTCTTTTTAATTTTATGGCAGAAAATGGGAAATGCGTATAACATACATCTGGAACATATTCGCTTAAAATTAAACCATAATTAATTTTGAAAATAAAGTTATAACATCTATAATTAATTAATGAGAAATGTTAAAATTTATAATTTATTACTTAAAATCTCGAGGTTGAACATGACTGGATACGATTCGAATCTTTGATAGAATATATTTATACTAGTAGCCCGGGACGCCCCCTAGTGGGCGTTCCAGCAGCATTACAAATTCCTGAGGCATGTTTAATGCACTTAATATNTTCACACGTGTCAAATACGTGAGCCAATCACAGCCCAAGGATTCCAACAACGTGAAATTCGTATAACGAGGAACGTATCTTCGCGTTATGGGGGGTCTACTGTAAACGGGTTTTCTCTTGTAAAACACTTGTTCTTCATTTGCCTCCTTCGCCACCGCCCACATATGCGGTTTCCCTTAGGCTCATTCTGACGCGAGATTAATTGTATTCCCCCTTCCAGTCGGCAACCTTACAGTTGTCAGTCCGTAGGCGAAGCGCAAACTCACGAAAAACTACAAATGTTCAGTGGTTTTTCCACTCAGACACTAGTATGCAACTCTAAAAGGCCTTCAATCCTGTCCAACCCACAATGGTGAAAGACTGGGCTCAACGTATCTACGATAGATCTTTCATGAAAAATTCTTGGAGAGTTGCTCACCCAATTAAAAAAATACAGTAGAGCGTTGTTTATCCGAAAGTCGATTAGCCGAAAGCATTCCAGTCGGCAAATTTAAATTTTCGCTAGTGCTGTGGCGCTGCAATCTTTGGCTATATCTTGCGCTACTCCAATATTTTTTTTTTGTTGGTGTGTGTTTTGGCTGGCAGCACTGGTACTTTTATGTGGTGTTTTTCTGAGGACTGTGTATCGTGCTGAATCAAGTGTTTTTGATAGATCAACTTCTAAAGTATATTTTTTTTGTTTTTATATTTTTCAATTTATTTATTTTGTTTGTANGTGTGTTTTGGCTGGCAGCACTGGTACTTTTATGTGGTGTTTTTCTGAGGACTGTGTATCGTGCTGAATCAAGTGTTTTTGATAGATCAACTTCTAAAGTATATTTTTTTTGTTTTTATATTTTTCAATTTATTTATTTTGTTTGTACAAAATAAAAAAATAATTTTTAACGATACAATAGCCACGATTATTATTTTAAAAAGTTTTCGTTAAGCTTAATATTGACGAAAATTCAACGCGAAGCGACACTCAACAGAGAAAAATTTCAACATGTGATAGGTTAATATATTTTTTCGTACATAATCGATTATCCGAAAAATAAGTTATCCGAACAGAGATATTTATAAAATAACAAAAGAAGAATTTTAAATTTTAATTTATTTTAGTTATTTGCATTTTATTGCTGTATTTGTTCTAATTTGCATTGTTTTTATTTTATACTAGCAGACCCCGCCACGCCTTGTTGTGGCTCAAAATGTATCTATTATAAATGTATAACACTTCCCCCGTGGGGGAAAATTTTTTGAAAAATTTTTTCTTAGTGTACATTCTCTTCACGTACCCTATTAAAACGCAATCAAAAGCGCAAAAACCCGCATCTAAAATAGTATAATAGAAGCCAAGTTTTTCACAGTAAGCCTTAATCCTGTC